CGCCCACGGAGGCACCTTCGGCAGTGGCAGTCGGCTCGTTGAGGGTGGTGTTGGCCATTTGGCTCGTGGCAGCGTCGACGGACATGGTAGCGGTTGTCGTTTTTGGAAGGGATCGGACACGAAGTGTACTGTTTTTGTTGTCTTTTTGGGCGGAGTACTGAAGTCGCAGACTAGAGTACTTCGTGTGGGTGGATTGAGGGAAACGTGGATGTGAGACCGCTGTTCGCTGTGGAAACGAGATTGAGGAGCTGGTGAAGGCGCGTGTCAGTAATTATGGTCAGTCAGTCCAAGCAAGCCAACAAGCAAGGAAGCGTGCAAGGCGGAGGAGTGGCAGCTCAGACGGAGACGTACGGAGAGTTGGGGATGGCGAGCTTCGTGGCCGAGTGCTGAGTTGGGATTGACTTGACAGTGAGCTGGGTGATCTGATGTTGACTGGTGATGAGGAAAGGCAGCAGCTCGAAAGGAGACGAGCACAATTTCAAGAGCCAAGCACAAGGGTCGAGCTGGGGAAAGACCAATCGCGTGCCTCGCGCCTGCCTGCACCAGTGGCGCTAGAAAAAGCTTAGACGTCTATAGTGGCTTTGGTGGGCACAAGACATCATCATCATCATCTGCTCGTCTCGCCTTGTGGTTCCGCCTGCCATATTCATTAATGTCGCTCGGAATGCTTTCAAAACGCCCGTGAATCCGCTCATCAACGCATTGGATCAGATCAGATGCGTGGGTATAGCAAGCTCGGACGAGTCAATGGAAAGGGCCGACCACGCTGAGACCGCCACGGAAGGCAGGCCAGCCACAAGGTAAGGGCGACTCGTTCCATCAAATGCAATGATGCTGTTTAGTCCGTGATGAGTCAAGTGCAGTGCACCTTACATCTCGCTTGATGCTGACAGGTGATAGATCATCGACGAAAGACAACAGCCGTACTGCACTGGTCCTCTATGGATCAGAGACAGGCAACGCTCAGGATGTCGCCGAGGAGGTAAGCTGCGACACCAGACTTCAAACCGCTGATCTAGCACCGTTGACATCCATACTCAGGTCGGTCGCCTCACGGAGCGTCTGCGGTTTGATACCACAGTCCTGGATCTAGACTCTATCACCTTGCGCGATCTCGTCAAACCCACCTTGGTCATTGTCGTCATCTCCACCACTGGTCAAGGCGACTTTCCACAGAATGCAAGACGTTTCTGGCGAACTCTACTTTCTGGCGCTCTCAAGCCAGGCCTCTTGCGCCAGGTGCGGTTCTCGTGCTTTGGGCTTGGAGACTCTAGCTACGTGCGATTCAACACTGCTCAGCGAATGCTGCGTGGGCGGCTACTACAGCTTGGCGCCAAAGAGGTCTGTGAGAGAGGCGAGGGAAATGAGCAGCATCCAGAAGGCCACAGCGCCGCCTTCAGAGAATGGATCGTGGCACTCAAGGAGAAATTGACTGCTACATTTCGACTACCAGAAGGGGTAGAGATCATCGCCGAAGACGTTTTCTTAGAGCCAAAGTGGAAGTTCGAGCTTGTCACAACCAGCCTCAACGGCACCCACGCTAATGCGCTGGATCGTTCTTCTTCCAGGCTGACAGATGAGACTCCACCATCCCCTGCGTTGCTTCCGGTGACGGATTCATACACGGCTGATCTCGTTCGGAACGACCGCGTGACTGCAGCTGACCATTTCCAAGATGTACGACTCTTAGACTTGCGCATTAAAGAGGCATACAATTACAATCCAGGCGCTGTGGCTGTCATATATCCCAAGAACTTTCCGAAAGATGTCGAGGAATTCATCGACCTGATGGAATGGCGAGACGTCGCAGATCAGCCACTGCAGCTCATTCGGTCATCGCGAGCTATGGCGGGAAGCTCGACTAGCAATCCATCTCCTCTTCGGCACTTGAACCTCGGCGGGACCGCATTAACGCTCAGATGGCTCTTGGAAAACGTTTTAGACATCATGTCGATACCACGGCGTTCCTTCTTTGCATCTTTGTCGCACTTCGCTGGCACGGAGACTGAAGACGAGCGGTATCAGAAAGAACGCTTGCTGGAACTCGCCAACCCTGAGCTGATTGATGAGCTCTGGGACTATACTACCAGGCCTAAGCGAACAATCCTAGAGGTTATGATGGACTTCACAACGAGCAGAATTCCCTGGCAATATGTCCTGTCGGTTTTGCCAATGATAAAAGGACGGCAGTTTTCCATTGCGTCGGGCGGCAAGCTAAAGCGCGATGAAGCAGGCAATACGAAAGTTGAGTTGCTTGTCGCTATCGCAGATCCGCCAAGTCCCATCATCAAGTGGCGGCGTCGCTACGGCGTTTGTACGAGGTATGTTGCTATGCTCAAAGCTGGACAGCAACTCAATGTTGGGCTGCAACAAGGATATCTTGACGTTCAGCCAAGTGAAATTGAGGTTCCGGTCATCATGATTGGGCCTGGAACTGGCGTCGCACCTATGCGATCTCTGATTCATCAGCGTCTTGCTTGGGCGGGAGATACTGGACTGCGTCCTTCTGGTAGCCGCCTCCATGGCGACATCCTCTTCTTCGGCTGTAGAGCGCAGACGAGCGACTATTTCTTTAGCAATGAGTGGGCAATGTTGACAAGTGCCGAGGCCCTCACGATGTACACGGCATTCTCACGCTCGAAAACGCAGCCGAAGAAGTATGTGCAGGATGTTTTGAAATCGAATGGAAAGCAAATTTATGGGGTGCTGCACGAGAAGAACGGTAAAGTTTATGTTTGCGGATCTTCTGGTAATATGCCCAAAGGCGTCAGAGAGGCACTCCTGGACATCCTAACGGAGTATGGCCAGGGGACGTCTCAAGAGGAAGCTGAAGCCTACCTGGACAGGATGGAAAAGGAGGGTCGCTACAAGCAAGAGACGTGGTAATGCGAATTTCTCGCAGAACAGTACATCGGAATTCAGTTTTTTTGCCGAGTTTGTCAATGGCGCTCTCAGTACCTTCCCAAAGGGGATCATCCGCTGCGGAGTTCGGCTAGCTATCGACGTTTGACGTATTTCATGGGCTGAAGTTTGACGTACTGCTCGTTGGCTACAGTGGTCAATGCTCCGCAGATCAACAGGTATCTGGCATTGGGAATTCAACAGCAATCGAGCTGAGACCTGCATCCAGGTCAGCGAGCTCAATACTGTCGAACATGGTCGCTCGCGCTCGAGATGATACGTTTACGATCCACACAGACTTATTGTTCGATCCTGGGAAACGGGCGTGGCTCAAGAACGTCTCTGTTACTGTGTCTCGCTCCACAGGCCTCATTACGAAGGTCTACACCCGTAATGGCGCCGGCCAAATTCTCCTCCCCAACTCAGACATCGATCTTCGAGGCCTGACTGTGCTTCCCGGCCTCGTCGACGCACATACCCACATCTTCCTCCACGCATACTCCGAAACTCCTTCGCTCAATCAAATGCGAGACGAATCCTTGGTCGAGAGAATCCTGCGAGCGTCGAATCACTGTCGTGCGGCACTGCTCGCGGGCTTCACTACGTATAGCGACCTGGGCACAGAGGGGGCTGGGGACGCGGACGTGCACATGCGAGATGCGATCAATCGAGGTATAATCCCTGGTCCCAGGATCTTCTGTGTAGGTGAAGCTTTGGCCAGTTCTGGTGGCTATGAAGTTAGGATCGAGTCTCGCAGCAATGGTGTAGAACTCCCCAGGATATCGGACCCATGTGATGGCGTCGCTGGTGTCAGAGCAGCAGTTCGCAGACGCCTAGGCGCTGGAGCGGATCTGATCAAGTTCTATGCTGATTGTCGCAAACGAACGCTACGGTATCCAGCTTCTGCTTGGCCGGGTTGTGCAGACATTCAATTCCCACCCGCCAACGATATGCTGAATAGTAAGCGAAACCCGAACCTGCTCCTCTTCCAGCAGGATGAGATGGATGAGATCGTGCGAGAGGCCCGCAGCTCTCGAGTGGTTGTGGCGGCCCACGCACAAAGTGCAGAAGCGGTGGTCATGGCAGCGAAAGCAGGTGTCACGAGCATCGAGCACGGTTTGGAGAGCTTTGAGGGCACTACAGCAATTGAAAATATGGTCGAGAAAGGCACGATATGGATCCCTACTCTCGCAGTGATGGAGACCGCTGCCTCCCGAGCCCAGATGCTACAAATCTTGCAGCAAGTGAAATCCGCTTTCGACGCCGGCGTCAGAATCGGCGCAGGTGGCGACACCGGTGCTATTCCGCACGGTGACAACGCTCGAGAGCTCGAGCTTTTGCTGCAGGCTGGTCTGCCAGTGGAGGATGTGCTTGTCGCAGCTACGATTACCGGATGGGAGGCTTGTGGTGGGGAGTGGTGTGGGAGGAAGTTTGGGTGGGTTGAGGAGGGCGTTGCTGCGGATTTGGTGGGTTTGAGGGGCGATTTGAGGGGGCATTTTGGGGCGTTGAGGAAGGTGGATTTTGTGATGAAGGATGCGAGGGTTTGGAAGAGGGAGGGGGTTGCTGTTGGGATGGTTTAGAGGAATAGGTCGTTTCTTGGTGAAGGTTTCGGCGGGACGCTACAGTGTCATGGCGAGAAGAGTGGTGCTAGGTAAGGTCGATAGCAATGTTGCACTCGCTCTGTGTGTACTGAGGACTTTCACGCGGCTTTTCCATGGCGATAGCAAGTGGTGAGCTTTGCGGTCTAGATAGTCCACTGTTTCGCATGTCCTCAGGCTCGCATGGCCCAGCCGTGAAATGTTGGAAGGGATGCTCCACAAAAGGGTGGCCTTCATACCTCTGTCCCTTGTTGTTGCGGATCATTACTCCGGACTTTGAGTGTGAGTTGCGGCAAGGACACGAACAGAGATAGAGATGCGTACGTTTGTGTAGCTACATTGCCGGCCAGGCTTGACTGAGTAAATTGTAAGTGTGTATCGTCTTGTATTATCATATGCAGCCACACTCTTGGACTGAGCTACATTGAGACTGACATGAACAAAAGAAAAGAACCAGACCCAATGAAGAGCCGTCATACTCCACGTCACGCACGATGAGTGTACTCCCACCGGGTCTCGAACCCGGGGCCTCATCCGTTCTGCACTGTTGTGGTGTGAAGGATGCGTCATACCACTAGACCTAGGGAGAGGTTAGGGCTAGTAGTCGTGGGCGAATAATTCTCGATGGTGGGCTTACCATGGAAGCTGTCAAGTCATGTGACCTGAGGCGGTGTCACCATATAGAGTATATATTGCTAATTCATTTTATGATGCTCGGCAAACAGCATTCGTTGATAAGGTATCGCACGTCACTATCCCATCTACATAAAAATGCAGATATTCACTATACTCAGCCCACAGCTACTTTGACAACTGAAAGAGTGAGGTAGGAAATCGTCGAAACAGAAGGCTTGCTTCGGCATTCTTGTGGTCTTCATGCCAGACATCTTTTCAATGATCCCGCTCAGGCACTCTCTTTTTCTTTAAGCAATTGCATCGAATTGAAAGCGAGGCATCAACAATACACTTCCTAGACTTACCATGGCGACCTTCGAGCTTCCAGACACGAATCCGTCTTGTCCCGTCCACCTCACGAACGACCTAGAGCCGGATCAGCTGCTGTCCTTTCATGCTTTCAAGACTTGGTAGGTTTCGCTCGTTCATGCAGTCCAGCTATGCGGCCTCAACAGAAGAGAAAGGAAAGAGAGCTCAATGCATTGAGTCCCTCACTTTGCTAAGTCGAGCCGTACAGGTCCACCACACTACGACACTCGCTATCCCTCCAACACAACCCGAGGCATGAATTCCACAAGGCTCCATACAAACTTCGATCGATCAAGATACAGTCGGTGGACTGGTTCGGTAGCGGGGACAAGAAGAGATTAGGCTTCATCAAGCTACAAGCAGAGGTCACAAACGATGAAGGCGCATATCTGCCCGGCGCCGTCTTCATGAGAGGCGGCAGCATCGCCATGCTCTTGATCCTCCAGCCGGATGATGTGCCAGCAGACTCGGACCAGGACAAACACGTTCTTCTCACGGTACAGCCGAGGCTCGCAGCAGGCAGTCTCAGTTTCTCCGAGATCCCAGCCGGCATGCTCGACGATTCTGGAACCTTTGCCGGTGGCGCAGCGAAGGAGATCGAAGAAGAGACTGGCCTTAAGGTCAAGGCCGAGGAATTGATTGATATGACTGCCCTAACCTTTCAGGATGACAAGACCGAGGAGGACCTTCAGGTCGCGGTTTACAGCACGCCGGGCGGGTGCGACGAGTTCATCCCGATCTTCTTGTACCAGAAGAGGATTGCGAGGGAGGAGCTACAAGAATTCCAAGGCAAGTTGACGGGGCTGCGGGATGAGGGCGAGAAGATCACATTAAAAGTTGTCAGATTGCAGGATCTATGGAAGGAAGGGGCGAGAGATGCGAAGACATTGGCCGCGTTGGCGCTGTACCAGGGACTGAAGGGAGACGGCAAGATCTGACTTCCGAACCACGACAGTGCCAAGTTCGAATCGAGTATCTCACTTGCTTTTTCGGCAAGAGCCAGCTTTTTCGAGACCGCTTCCATCGACCATTTCTGGAAAGCTTCTTAGCCACCATCCAGCGGTAAGCGGGCTCTTCCTTCGGATGCCCGCAATGCCGCCGTACGGACCGAAGCCCTTTCTGCAGGCTGAGGACCATCGTCAGCTTGGCTACTTTGTTACCCATCCTCTTCCGGCTCAGGGCAATACTCAGAGGTGCACAGGTACGGGCCGTCATTCCGACCTCAGAAGTAGTAGCTGTGGCATATACATACCTTGCTCGATGACATTCATAAGATGCAAACCAGGAGTACTAGTGTAGCAGGCACGCCGTTACGCTTCCTGTAACAGACATCTGGAGGCGGTTCAGGGACGTTGCAAGCTCCCTCAGACGTCTCATAATCGCGTTCCTGCCGCAGAGTGCTAACCACGACACAAGAAGGGACGGTAATACCCTGCCATGCCGTGGGCACTGATCCTAGGTCGTCAAAGCGGGTTGTGGTCATTATGCGAGCAGCAAAAGAGATACGATCTCGGTACAGAACCTACAGTAGAAGTACCTCTATCTCTCTGCGAATTTCTGACTCTTCATTATGTAAAAGTAGAGACAAAGCACAACATGACCTTAATGTCTCAGACCTATCTCTCGCGTAAGTCTAGACACTATATACCTGTGAGACAAGCCAAGCTAGCTTTGCAACAAAAATAACCCCGATCCTCAACCCCCAATTTCTCGGATTCACGAGCATGATGAAACACTTCTAAGCCCTCTCCCGCCGCCCAGAGACCTAGCGGCTTCGCGTGCGCTACCGCGTGCGCTACATAAGCACAAATGAAGACCCATCACAAGGAAACTCCCTCCCCACCTCTCCCACCGCACCCCCGCCAACCCAACCAAAAGCAAACCTCCAAAGAATGCATCTCAACCTCACTCCCTTCCTTTTCCTCCTCGCCCTCCCCACCACCTCTCTGGCGAAACAGAACTCAAAGGGACGGAGCTGGTGCAACGACGGCACACCAGGCAACGGCGAGTGCGAGAGGACGCCCGGAGTCTTCACATACTGTGTAAGCCCTCCCCCTTCCCCCTGCCACAAAACCAACCCATCTGCAGAAAACTTGCTCTGGGTTCCGCTAACATGGGAGTCGGTGACGTGAAAAGTGTGTTACCTCGAATGAGAATTTCGGCGTATATCAGACGCAGAGGCTTGTGCTCAAGCAGTCGTTGTCTGACACCAATTCTTGGACATGTGGGGCTGTGATAGACAGTAGTGGTAATAGGGAGGGGTTTGTTGCTTGTGCTTAGCGGGGCGGAGGCTTGACGGTGGGTGGTGAGATGGGAGGGGGGGATTGTGAGGCTTTTTGGAGATGACACGGGCCTCGAGGTTGACTCAGCAGTGGCTAGAGGATCAATGTGCGACGGCGTCGACTCGAGGCTTGAGCCAGCTCTGCGGATCAAGACCTGTACACTGAGAGCATACGGATGCTTGTGCGCATGACGTCTCCTGCTCTCCACGACGTGCTCGGGTGATCGAATGGCGTCTTCCGAGACCACGGCAACACTGTAAATGTACATGTCTGTCACTCACCGGCAGATTCCGCCCAAACGCCTCGCTAAATCGTCAGTTAACGTATCATCCAGCATAAATCAATCAATCATCATTCATTCTCCCTTCAAACCATCTCTCAACAGCCTCAACCAACTCGGCCTTCTTCAGACCTGTGACCTTCGTCCCTTTCCCCTGCAGCCAGCCCTTCAAGTCGGCGACCGTCATCTTCTTGACCGCATCTTTGGACCATGCCTCCCGCATCGCAGCATCCGTCACACCCGCGTCGTCCCCATCTTCTGTCTTGAACTTCTTCGCCTTAGCCTGAGTAGCACTGCCCGAAGGTTCCGCTTTCGAACGTTTGGAAGCGCCATTAGAGGTCGGATGAATGTGCCTGTCGTTGGTTTTTTGCCACTCTTTGAATTCGGCATCGAGAACGTTACCCCATTCCACTGCATATCCACCAGCGCGTTTGTGGATCTGCTTGTGGCGAGGTATGGTCTTGTCTTCGGGCGCATCTGGCAGGTCCTCCTCGAGGGCCAGAGCTTGCAGGATTTTGTAGAACCATTGCAAACTTGGATTTGGGTACTTCTTCGGGTCGTAGACGGCTTTGGGAAGCTGGAGCTGCTGTACTATAACACGCATGGCGTCCGTCAAAGGACTCGTCGTACGCACCAGAGAGGTATCGGGGGCTTGTCTGATGTCGTCTGCGAAGGGCAGTCGCTTGATCCAGAAGCCTGGTGGGATCAATTGTTCGCCTTCCTCGGTTCTGCTTTCGGCACCAGGCATGATTGCTACGAGTACTGGACTCGCGTTGCGGCGGGCTATGAACCATGCTAGACCGAACTTCTGGTCTTTGAGAAGTTTCTGGTGTAAAGCGGAGAAGACTCGCGTGGAGCCAATGTACTCCTCTTCAGACGGATAGATGAATTTGCTCGGCTCAAGATTCGCCCATGTTGGCAGCATGCTCATCGGCTTGAAGCCAATGATACGTAGCACAGGGTCGCCAAAATGCTTGATCTTGGCCAACTCATCAACGGTGAAGCTGATGGTTTCGCCACCGAATTTGAAGGCTCTCCGCACTTCTGTCTTCTCGACTGTGCGGGCTGTATCGTCTGCGATCAATGTACTGCTCCCAACTGCGATTTGTGGCTTGTCGTTGTCTGGCGGTAGGTAGATGTACGAGGTGCGCTTGGGCTCTTGCCGCTTGAAGATGATGTAACCCTTTACGCTGATCTTCAGGTTTGGGCCAATCTCGAACGGCATGTTGCTAAACAGTGCTCTTCGCGGTGCTGCACGTGATACTACGGATGATAGCAGGCTTTGTAGCAGACTGATGCCATCCTTCGCCGTGCTGCTGGCAGCCTTGATGTCCGAGGTCAACGGAGCGGGTGCGTCTGGGTCTGCAGGAGTGGTTGAGTACACGATGTCATCGTAGAACTTGCTCCTGTCAAAAGTATATGGTGGATTGCGGTCCGGGTGCGAGATTGGAAACAATTCGATGGTAACTCCCAGGTCGTACAAGTCCTTTGCACGGACAGCTGCACTATTCCTCGCATCTCTGTTGCTGGCATGTGGATAGTCGTTGTCCGTCACCAGGAACAAGCGCCTCGACGAGAAATTCGGCGCTTTTGTTGTAAAGATCTGATTCGCACAGAACAGCACATTTGCCATACTGACCTCCTCGTCACTTGCCACAAGTAACTCCTTGGCCTCCTCCTCGTCCTCGACCAAGCTCCGTAGACGCTTCACATCGGCAGCAGCCGGCACATCCAGATTGGTGAGCAGGTAGCAATGCGGATACTGCAGCCCTCCTTTACCAGTCTCCTCATCGCCGTCCTGGAACTTGCTCTTCTCCGTGCCGAACAGCAGAATGCCCATCATGTCACTCGGGTTACTGATAATACGCTGCTGCATCAACTCGTACGCGCATTTGAGCGCAGCCATGGTTGGCGAAAGCGTAGCATCTTTGGCCTTCGTGTCTACGTCGGCAGGCGTCTGCAGCATCGATTCGGACACGTCTATAGCGAAGAGCACGGCATCCTTGACGGTCTTGTATCCCGACTCGTCCACCTCCTCCTCTT